CTCCCGAGCCCACGGACGTCCAGGCCCGGAGGAGCTCGCTCCCGTGCCCACGGCGTCCAGGCCCGGAGGAGCTCGCTCCCGGGCCCACGGCGTCCAGGCCCGGAGGAGCTCGCTCCGGAGCCCGGGCCCACGGCGTCCACAGGCCAGGTGGGCAGAAACCAAGGAAGCTCTCCCCGTGTCCAGCGCCGCCTGGCGGGAGCAGAGCCGGCCCGGCGTCCGTGGGGCTGGCCGGCGCCTGGGCTCTGCCCGGACTCACCGGCCCGCGGCCGCTGCCGCTGCGCCGGCCACGCTGACCCCCCGGGGCAGGGGCCGCGGCTCGGATCCCGGAGCGCGGGTCACTTACCCCACATGCCACAGGCTGCTCCAGCGGGCCTGCGGGGGGCACCTGCGGGAAGGGCGGCACCTGGAGCCGGCGGTGCGGGCAGGGCTGGCCCGGCCTCCGCGCCGCGCTCCGCCCGCCCCGCACTTACCCGCCCCCCACTTACTGGCTCGAGGGGTCGCAGGGGGCCTGGTCCTCAGAACCCAGAGACACCTGCGGGGAGACACGCATGAGGAGCGCCGGAGGGCGGGGCCGTGCGGAGCCCCGCCCCACGAGCGCCCCGCCTCCCGCCCGACCCACCTGCGGCAGCGGCAGCAGCCAGAGCAGCAGCAGGAGCCCCAGGGAGGAGCACGGCGCCATCTTCCCGCGAACTGCGCCGCCGGGCGGGTCCAACCGCGTCGAGAGACCACGCCCCAGCGTAGGCCACGCCCACACGAACTGACCCACCCCGGCCACGCCCAGAAAACGTCACGCCCACAGGACTGCCCAGTCCCGGACACACCCAGAGCAATGCCACGCCCACCAGACTGTCCCCCCACGCCCACAGGCGCGCCCTGGTAGCCCCGCCCTCGCCTTCCCCGCCCCCAGGTCTGCTCTGCAGCTCTCTGGCCCTGGCTGTGGGCAGCCCGCTCTGCTCCTCTCTGGCCCTGGGGTCGGCTCAGGCCTCCCTGCAGCTCGCTGGCGCTGGCCTGCAGCCCCCCAGTTTGGGGGCACCGAGTGGTACATGGGGCCACGGAGGGACCGGTGAGGGTTACATTCAGTGAGAGTCCTGCAGGACCCGAGCTGGGGACTTCTGCTGTGGGCACTCCCGGGCCAGGCCTCTCTGGCTGAGCCTTGCTCTGGGCCCTGGATGCACTGGACACGGACCACTGGCCAAGGGCACTAGGCTCTCCTTCAGCTGTCAAAGCCTTCTCATTCTGCTGGGGCTGGCTGGCTCTTCTCCAGGGGGACCC